CATGCACACGTGCCCACGCCCCATCCTGGCCCGGCTTGGCGCATGTGTGTGAAAAGCACCCCCCCCTTTCTCCCACGCATGAAATATCTATAGTGCTCTCCTCCTATGGGTCCCTACCCATAGAGAGAGAGCAAACTACACATATACTCTACTTCCACTCCTTTCCCAAGCAATGTGGGACAAGGAGTCTTCCCATGCACTCAAGGGTGGGAAGAGGAAAAGACAAAAACAAGAGAGGGAAGAGAGATTCTTGAAATTTTGAATCTCCCTCCAACAATCCCCCATAAGATTCAAAATTACAAGAAGATCAAACAATTTGAGCATCGTAGTGAGAAAAGTATTCATGGTGATATCTTTGGGACTTCAATCAACACTTAGGTATGACAAGCTATGTTATAGAGTACGGGTGGAGTCAGATTCCTTCAACCTTTCCTCTTTGTCATAACTAACTAACTGGCCAACCAACTCAATTCACCAGTTCTTTAGTGGTTATTTTCTTTTGGAACATTTCGGCCTTGTTCCCTTCTTGGAATCATGAGTATTTTAGAGAGTCAGCCCTAGATCTCTCTTAGAAGCAACCACACTTCACACTCACTAAGGTCAATTATTAGTGTGCACTGCACATACTATTCCTAATTGATTAAGTGCCTTGTGCTCAACCTCCTCAAACTGTAGTGAGCACTATCTTGCCTCGACATCTGAAATGGGACACAAACAATAGTGCTTTCCCAAGTCATCCAGTGACTCGTTTTTACCCATTCAACCTAATTTCAGAGATCTCCTTTCACATAGGTTGGGTATCCATCACCAATGACTTATGTAATGGGCTTCAGCCCCATTCCCACTGATGCCTCATAAACCACCTTAGAAGTCCATGGTTTGGTTAACGAATTTGCAAGGTTCTTTTCAGACCTTACAAAATCCAGAGCGATTATACCTTCGTTGACGTATTGTCTTACCAAGTTATGCCTTAAGCGAATGTGCCTTCTTTTACCATTGTATGTCTAGTTCTTGGCTCTAGCTATTGCAGCTTGGCTATCACAATGGAGAGATATGGACGGAACCAGTCGTGGCCAAAGTGGTATATCTGCGAGCAAGTTCCTTAGCCACTCTACCTCGGACCCCACCAATTCTAGTGCAATGAACTCTGCTTCCATTGTCGAACTTGTATTGCATGACTGATTTACCGATTTCCATGATACTGCTCCTCCACCTAGAGTAAGCACATATCCACTGGTGGAAGTACTATCATTTGAATCTGAAATCCAATTTGCATCAATAAAACCTTCTAAAATAGGAGGAAACTTGAGTAATCTAAACTAAAATTTATGGTTTCTTTTAAATATTTTAATAATCTTACTAGAGCTTCCCAATGTTCATTTCCAGGATTATGAGTATGCTAACTTAATTTTCCCATAGCTATAGCTATGTCTAGTCTTTTACAGTTCATTAAGATACAAATCCAATTATACTTGCATAGTCCTTTTGTAAAACTGGTTCTTCTACATGTTTCCTTAAGTGAATACTACAATCAAGAGTGGTTTAACCGGTTTATAATCATAGTGTCCAAATTTCCTAAGAATACACCAATCGGTTTCCTAGAGTGTAAATAGGAACCAAATTGTTGGGCCCATTTACACTCTTCACATTTGGTAGAAGCGATAAATCAAACGTTACCTGGCCCCCTATTGAGACCAAGCAAACCAGCAGCAGTGATGAACAGATCCATCAAGAGTGATGTTGTTAATGCCCTCGAGTTGCTGAACATTATGGTTTCTATCACAAAGTCATCAACGGTGTAAGACCCATCTCCATACGTAACCTGGTGGAGGAAGACATGTTTCGACAAGGTGACAAACTGGTGGAGGCATTGTTCGGAGTCACAGGAAAGAGGCGAGTACGAAGAAGACGAAGATGGTTTGGTGGTGACTGAAAGCCCTAGTGGAGAAATTAGAATCCCTAAGAAAGCCCAATATTGAGATCATGAAGGGTAGTAGGGCACCAAGCATTGAAGCAGCTCAAGCTCTCAGTTCTTACTAAAAAATCCCTATCACCAACTTCCTTTAAGTAACTGTGTTATTGATTCTTCTCGCTTTACTTTACAGCTTTCTCTTAAGTAATTGAACAAATAGATTGTTCTTCATTATTCTTGAAGAGCTTGCTTGAGAATTCATAGAGAATGCTTTCAGTGCTACAAACAGCATGTTTCAGGATGGCAATCTGCAACTGATCTCCAAAGAAAAGAAAACTCGTCGAAAGTTTAGTCTGATTGTTTTTGCTTGCTGCCATTTACATTTACAGGTGAACATCTGTTGATTTTTTGTCTGCTCATTTAGGAGTCTTGATTCAGCTCATAGAAAGAGCAACATAGGAAAAGGAAGCAAAAATTAATGGGATTGCAGGCTGCGACAGAGGGTAGGCTCATGGTGTTAAAGGTGTAAAGAAGTGTTGGGAAGGAGATAGAGACGTTAACTAGACCGGAGAGTTTTTTTTTTCTTTCAATTATCGATGTAAAACTTGACATATGTGAGCTTTACATCAATTTGCGATATTTAATTACACTCTATCCAAATGACTGTAAAATCAGACCGGAGTATAATCTTACACCAGTCCAGTGTTTACATTGCAAACAAACCCAGCCATAGGAGCTAACAATTTTACAACATGAACCCTAACCATGAATGATAGCTGAGGTGATCACTCAACATCCTTCCGAATATGGAGACATTGGATCTAACTCATGTAACTATAGGCTCTCTCTAATATGGTTAATGGACCTGCACCCTTGTCAATCACCCACCCCCTTAATCCATTGTACCCATAAAAAAGAAAGGAAAACAGAAAACCTAAACCTAACTCAATCAAGGGCATAACAAATCCATCCCCATAAGGGAAAGGGATGAGGAGAGGGTTGAGTGACCCAATTAATCCGCCCAGCCCATAGACATTCCTTCTTCCTCATTAAACTAACTACATGTGCATCTGCACATGCTTACTTCTAATAATACACCTAACCCTATCTTTTCTGAGTACCAAAAGTAAATATATGAACCATTAATTGCTTTCGATTTGTGGCAATTATATTCAATGAATGAATACCTATATTCTGACATCACTAAAATATATTCGGTAAAGTCCTAACCTACGCCATATAGGTTAAGTATACGCGTTGACATTCATCTGTAGCAACACTTGCACATAGGTATCCATATATGATATATACCAATAATGTCTGAATTCAGTATTTAATTCAAAGTTCTCTGACCAATTACCAAACTGCCATCACATATCATCTTTCAAGTTCAAGGTATTCAACTTGGTTTATGACCAAAATACCCTTGCCCAGATATTATTTTACCATTTTTTTTTCCTAGTTTCCACTTTCCAAATCACCGAGGAAGCCGATTCACTGATTTGGGCACGCATTGTTTTCGGATGGTCAAAAACTATTATCTTCTTCGAAAGACAACAATGGTACAATAACTACAGTTATGTGGCACACGTATTTGGGCCTTAATGGGTCCCAGTCCCACCTTTCTTATCGGCACAATTTTGGACCCGAAAATCCTTTTGACCTGACCGCCTTAAACCCGTTGGCCCAATTCAAAGGGCCCACTTCATGTGACCCGATCAAAATTTAAGAGAGCTCTTTTGTCTTTTACTGAGCTACTAGTGGCCCATTTATTAAAAATTGAGGTGGGCCCATGCCCCAAAGTCCAAAACCACCCCCGTCCCCCACACTGCAGAGTCCAGCCTGCAGATGGTCAGATCAGAACTCAGAACATCCATTCGAATTTCAAGGTACCCTGCAGTCATTAACAAAATGTCAAGGACATTAATGATAATTACGTTACACGTTAATCACCATCGGAGCAAAGCTTTCACAGAAAACGGATTAATTAATTGCTTTTTTTAACCTCGCAGCGCAGAGTGTTGTCCTTGGAAAGAGAGAAGTTAAGATAAACCCTAGGAATCAACAACATTCGCGGGAGAGAGCTGGATAGCCTGGATTAGTGGGTCCTCGGTGAATAGGTGATCTCTGTGTATCGTTTTTCTACTAATTATTTTAAGGAAAAGCAAGAACTTCTGTAGTAATCTTCACGTATGTTTCATTTGCTTACTCTTCAGTCTTCACTGGTTGATTAAATTTGGGTGGCATAATCACGTTGATCTTCATGCTTTGTTTCTTCAAAGTTAGTGTTCTAACCATTTCTACTTTTATTTGCTTTAATCCCACTCGACGCCTCTCTACTGGCCATCATCAATCACGCTCTTTCTGCTTTCTCAAGTTTTGCTTTAATTCGTTTAATTAGCATTGATTTTTACCGGAAATGGTAAAAATCTTTTGCGTGGTTAAAACCCTAATGCACATGAAGTCCGCTCCTTGGATGCGATTCTTTCGATTTCCTTCATCGGAAAATTATATATTTTTTGGCATTCTCTGCAAATGTGTACTTTTAACAGTATAGTTCCGGATTCCGGATTTTCGCTTATCTGGTTGAATTTTGTTTTCTCTTTCTTTTGAATGTATTAAGAAATGCATTCTTGTTTCTTACTCTAAAATTGATGCTTCATCTGTTAGTTTTGTGTATTTACTTCTTTTTCTTTTTTTCATTTTAGGCGAAAAATTTTGCTAATTATATTGGGATTGACTTTAATTTTCTTTAGAAACTGGAATGTTAGGAGCTTTAAAATATTTTTTTGTTGTATTTATTGTTTGTGGTGCATGCTTGACTTGAGTTTCAAACGCGTTAAGTCAGCCATTTGTTTTTGCGATCTGGGTTTTGTCGGACTCAGAAAATGGATTTTAATTTCCTCTCTTTTTCCTTTTTTCGGCAAAATGCTTTTTTTTCGATTAATTATCATATTGGTTTTATTGAAAAGCAAAATTTATGTAAAATATGGATTTCTGTTAAAAAGTATTACCTTTTTTTATTTTCCCTCTTGTTTGCTAGTAAGCCTATGAGGTGTGCTTGAAAGCGTGTTGAACATACTGGTTCAACTGTTAAATCTGACTTTTTTTTTGCTGGGTTTGTGAAAATCTTTGATGGGTTTTGGGTATTTAAGAAGCTCCCGCTCTTCTTGTCTCCCTGTAAGAGAAGTCGTAGTCTCTCTTCCTCGTTAGAGATCTACTGTTTCCATCTATCTATTCCTCTCATTTTTTATCTCTTTTTAGATCTTTTGGAAGGAAGCAGAGGGAGCAAGAAGGTAATGTTGATCTGAACATCAAACTTGAAGGAAAACATATAAATGAATTCTAGCTAAATGTTGATCTCATAATCTGTTTGAATTTTTCGGTGGTTTAGTGGGTTCTGTTCTCTTCTTCCTGATTTGTATTTCTGGCTTCGTTTGTTCTGAATTGACCTCTGAGAGATTTCCTTGCTGTTTTCCCACTTTCTATTGGGTCTTTTATGATTTGAAAATGAAGATCTCTTGTATGTTGGAATGAATATCCTCACAATGCACAGATCTACACTTTGTTGGATCCTATAGCTAGGACTGACTCAAGCTTCTCAGTTCTCATATTTATCCGTTGGCATTCATTTACTGAATACGAACTAGGAATCAAGTCAATTTTTTGAAGGATTGGCTGGAAATTCATGCAAGGAAACTAAATGTTTTGTCAAATTTAACAGTTTCTTCATATTCTGGATATACTGGTTCAGGTCCTTTATTTAAGTTACTCTTGCTATTTGTATTTGTCTGTCGGTTCCATCCGTTACCTGTACTTCAGAATTGTTATTGTTTCTCAATTCTCATTTTGTCAAGTTTCTATTTATTTCTATGAACTAAATCATACACCAAGGCTCATCCTCTTGCCATTCCGGTCCACTCTCCTGCTCGAGACAGGTTTTCATTTCTATTTTCTGGTTTGAAATATAGTTCTGATTTCTGCTGTTTACGAAAAATATTGACGGATGATGTTTTAAATTACAGACACTGTTCTGAAAAAAAAATTACACTTTTTTTTGAGCAATTTGTGTTTTTATTTAATGAGTCAGCGACATTCTTCTTTTACTATACATTACTTCTATAGGAGAAAATTGACATGTTATCTCTGCATCTTGCCACACACTTCAGGGGTTCTGTGCTTTTCTCCCTCACCGGCATATATATAGATCTTGAAGTCATGACCTTTCAGATGTTTCTTTCCTGTCATGATATGTGTGCATTTCTATCTTTGCAGATTATTAGTTACAACTGAAAATGGTGAAGATCTGTTGTATCGGAGCTGGGTATGTCGGTGGACCTACCATGGCTGTAATAGCACTCAAGTGCCCCTCAATTGAAGTGGCTGTTGTGGACATCTCTGTACCTCGTATCAATGCCTGGAACAGTGACCAGCTCCCCATCTACGAGCCAGGCCTCGAAGATGTGGTGAAGCAGTGCAGAGGAAAGAATCTTTTCTTCAGCACTGATGTAGAAAAACATGTAAGCGAGGCAGATATCATTTTTGTTTCAGTCAACACCCCAACCAAGACAAGGGGCCTTGGAGCAGGCAAAGCTGCTGATCTGACCTACTGGGAGAGTGCAGCACGCATGATAGCCGATGTCTCAAAGTCCAACAAAATTGTAGTTGAGAAATCAACAGTCCCAGTAAAAACAGCTGAGGCAATTGAAAAGATTCTGACTCACAACAGCAAGGGGATCCACTTCCAAATTCTTTCAAACCCAGAGTTCCTTGCTGAGGGGACTGCAATCCAAGACCTTCTCAAGCCTGACCGTGTGCTCATTGGAGGCCGGGAGACTCCTGGAGGCCGAAAAGCAATCCAGGCATTGAAGGATGTGTATGCCCAATGGGTACCTGAAGACCGCATAATAGCTACTAACCTGTGGTCCGCTGAGCTTTCAAAACTTGCCGCCAATGCCTTCCTGGCCCAGAGGATCTCATCTGTCAATGCCATGTCTGCACTCTGCGAGGCAACTGGTGCTGATGTTTCCCAGGTATCCCATGCTGTTGGTAAGGACTCTAGGATTGGGCCCAAGTTCCTTAATGCCAGTGTTGGCTTTGGCGGGTCCTGCTTCCAGAAAGACATCCTCAACCTGATTTACATCTGTGAATGCAACGGCCTCCCTGAGGTAGCAAACTACTGGAAACAGGTCATCAAGGTGAATGACTACCAGAAGAACCGTTTTGTGAACCGGGTTGTCTCTTCCATGTTCAATACAGTCTCAGGAAAGAAGATTGCTGCTCTTGGATTTGCATTCAAGAAGGATACAGGTGACACAAGGGAGACCCCTGCCATCGATGTGTGTAAAGGGCTGTTGGGGGATGGAGCCCGTGTGAGCATCTATGACCCTCAGGTCAGTGAGGATCAGATCCAGAGGGACCTTTCAATGAACAAGTTTGACTGGGACCACCCACTTCACCTTCAGCCTATGAGCCCCACTGCTGTGAAGCAAGTGAGTGTGGTTTGGGATGCATATGTGGCAACCAAGGATGCCCATGGTATATGCATTCTGACAGAGTGGGATGAGTTCAAGACTCTTGATTACCAGAGGATATATGATAACATGAGAAAACCTGCATTTGTGTTTGATGGAAGGAACATTGTGAATGTCAAAAAGTTGAGGGAGATCGGTTTCATTGTGTATTCGATTGGTAAGCCTTTGGATCCATGGCTCAAGGACATGCCTGCTATGGCATAGAAGAGAAGCGTAAATGGGGCTTCGCATGCCGGCTCTTTGTTAAAACTGAAACTGAGGAAGACAGTTTGATTCTTTAAAATTTTTCTTTTTTTTTTAGTTTTCTGCTTATTGCTATTAGTCATGGTTTATGTTGTTTCTTACTTGTGAACACTAGTCAACTAGAAGTTACTAATTCTTCCATCCCGAGGAAGCTAAAGAATCTTTCTGTTTTGCCTTACAATGTATTCCATGATGTGATAGTGCTTTACTTGGCCATTACTGGATGACTAGAGTCAATGTGTACTTGTCATAATAAACTGTTACAGATAAATTCATTGAGGCTTTAGAAAATAGAAATCATTTGTCTATCTGTCATCTATTGTTGTTTATTTGTTCTCTTTAACCCATCTTAAGCAGAATTGTTTCTTTTTAAGCTTACAACTTTTTTCCCTTTTTAATTTCTAAGAAAGAGTTGGCAGCTCATGTTGCTGTGGATTCTCTTCTTGACAGTTGACAGTGAAGACTTTAGAGAAGGGATACATTCAATTTTTCAATATTTTAGCAGGTTTGGCCCAAAGCGCAAACATTCCAGCTGTTTCCATCACTGACCAATGATTCCCCCATGTTCAAGCTTCCAATGTGCCATGCATAAAACCATGAAAGCATTAAGAAAAACTGCTGCTCCCAAAAATGTGAGTCTTACCATATGGAGCAATGGGGCAATGTGTTGTTCTTCTATGGTTTCTCTGGTTTTGTTCCACTTACACTTGGACGAGAATATATTAAGAAATATAGTCCCTTGGCTTTGCAGTTTGCACCGACAAATTCCCACTGCTCATTGTATGACGAAATTTCCACCAGTGGTTGATTAGTCTGTTCATCTAGCTGAGTCGGTAAGAAAACACCAAAGGATTAAATTCACCATCAATTCACGTCGCTTAGCCAGCCTGGGACTGGAGTCCTGCTCCTTGACCATGACATTAGCCCAGCCAATTTGCCTTGCCGTTTGTGTTAGGTTAGGCCGAAGTAAAGATAACCGGCATCTTCCCATTAGCTGCCAGACTTTGACTCAGTTTTGTTGGGCTCGACTCAATTCACCAGAGTTAGGCTCAAAGACAAAATAAGTGATGGCGGTTTCAGATTTCAACATCACTGGGACCAAACTTTTGGACTGCAACAAGGACTGGGAATGAGTTTGGTGATTTTAGGTCTTGACCCAATCGTAATACGGACGGAAGAGGACGACAGCCCCAGGAAACCACTAAGAAAAGCCTTTCTGCTGCTCCAACCGCGTCATTGATAGTCGCATTAAAAGTTGAACTGAAATCCATGGGGCCACGCCCACGGAAACCAAACTGGGTCTCCAAACAATCCAAGCAGGTGATGGTCTGGCACCGACTGCGCGTAGTATAGTAGTGAGTGGAATAGACAAAAGACATTCTTTCTAATGATTCTTTTATTCCTGTCTATAATGTTATCTTCCCTCATTGAGAAGTCCGTTTTCTCATAATCTCATCTACCCTCAAAGTTACCACCCTAGACAATTTGCTGTATTCAAAGGTTTTAAAAGGATAAAGGCTTTGTTGAGGGGTAATGGCTTAGTATTCAAGGTTTTAAAAGGTTAAAGGTTTGGTTGAGGTGTAATGGCTTAAAAAAGGTGAGGTGTAAATTTGAAGGCATTGCAAGGCTTAAGCCAAAGTTTAAGAAAAAATTAATTAAAGTTTATAAATTGATGAAAATAATATATGATATATTAAATTAAAATGATAGAAAAAGTATACGTATATATAAACTAGAAGTTTATAAGCGAAAAGTTTTGGTATTTAAATATTAAATGAAATAATAACTAATCAATTAACAATTACCAACCGTGGGGTGACTCAATTGGTATGTTAGCTGGTTGGTTTCAGCATTAACACAGATTCTATTCCCACAAATCACCGACTTTGGGTAGGGGGGTTATTAGTGATGAGTATCACCAAATACTGAAAAAAAGATCAATTAACAATTATAAACATTTTACATTTTATGTAAAAAACTAATTTAGAAAAAAGGAAACAACTTAATTGATTTAATCTATAATAATAATAATAATAATAATAATAATAATAATAATAATAATAATAATAATAATCGATGAGGGCGGATTTGGCCCTCCAGTGAAATTGTGACACCTGGCACCTCATGCAAGCCAAGTGCAGCCTCTTGACAACTGGGCAGCTCGGGCAGCTCGGCATAGCTCGCCACAGGCAGTTCGACAAAGCTTGCCACAGCTCGACATAGCTCACCACAGGCAACTCGACAAAGCTCGACATAGCTTAAGGAGCTCGACATAGCTCCCCTCCCCCCCCCCAGGCAGCTCGCCACTTGCAGGGTAGCTCGGTACGGAAGAGCAGTTCGGCATATCGCAGGAAGATCTCCTGTCTGACAACCGTACTTGACAGATCCAGAGACCTGCACCCATGTCTCTTGCTAGGCGGCGTCGTGCCTGCCAGCCCTGAGAGCTGTCCCTTGCCTTGGAGAGCCGTACTCTGCAACAGCTGCCTGCACCTGCCACTTCAGCTCTAGCAGTAACGGCTACGGCAGAGAGAGAGGCGGTTATGCTTGACTTGATAGAGGCTGTTACGCCTGATTTGACAGGACACCACTATATAAGGACTCCGACCCCCAAAGACAAAAAAAGAAAAAGAAAAATGGAGGTAATCCCTGCTCCCAAGCTCTCTCATTTCTTTAATATCATCTTCAAGTTCTCTACAATCGGAGTGCTAATTTAAATGTCGGAGAGTCCCCGCCGGGTAAATACCCCCAGGTCCCCTGCTTCAGTTCTCGCAGGTCCCTCAGCTCTCGCCGCCTACAAAGAGGAGGAAAAGATGGAGTTCTCGCAGGTCCCTCATCTCCCACCGCCTACAAAGAGGAGGAAAAGATGGAGTTCTCGCAGGTCCCTCATCTCCCACCGCCTACAAAGGAGAGAAGATCATCTCATGCAGAGGGCAGTCGGGTTGCGCTACACCAGGGAGCTCCACCATTCTCTAAGTCACAGGTCGCCTAGGAGCAAGGCAAATGACGAGTTCACCAAGGTAACTCACCACCAAGGAGCTCCACCATTCTCTGAGTCACAGGCCGCCTAGGAGCAGGGCAAATGACGAGTCCACCCAGGCAGTTCGCCATCAGGGAGCTCGACATAGCTCTCCCCCAGGTAGTTCGCCATCAGGGAGCTCGACATAGCTCTCCCCCAGGCAGTTTGCCATCAGGGAGCTCGGCATAGCTCTCCCCCAGGCAGTTCGCCATCAGGGAACTCGACATAGCCCTCCCCCAGACAATTTGCCACCAGGGAGTTCCACCATCCTCTCCTGGGAGCAGGTCAAATAACAAGATACTTAAAAAAAAAACAGTACGTGACCAGAACCGATTGCATCAATAATAATAATAATAATAATGAACTTATGAGGCTTTTTTATGTAAGGCTTAAGCCTTGAATAAAAATCCGTGTACATTGTATACCTCACAGCTCAAGGATTAAGCCTTTTTTAAAATAATAGTTGTATCAAATCATAAAAATTTCAAGAGGACAACCCGCGCACAAAGTCTGAGCTCTTGGGTCAAGGGACACAGGACCCTGGATGGATATGGGGATCACATAACTTGCCACCTGTCACATGCTTCAAGGACTTAGGGCTACCATTTGATGGCTCCACATTGATTGCCAAAGGTCCGTACAATCACACGAGTGATTAACTGTTAACCATATCATTTCGAAATGAATTTTAGATCTTTATTCTGACTTCCCTTGTTCAAAAAAATCCAGATAAACCATAGGATTTCTAATCTTTTTCCGCAAACAAAATTTTGACCTAGCTGATCTATGAGATATGGCTTCTCAGATGGAGGGTGTTGACTCTTGAGACATGTTGCAAACATTGGGGAGCCTATATGGGTGTTGTAAGTACATGGAATTGTGCACCAGCCCACTTGCAATGAGAGGCTCAGAGGCCCTCGGGGGAGTCTCCATGAGCAACCAGCCTGAAATTAAGCTTCTAGAAGGAGAGTAGCTATACTCGTGCTCACTTGCAGATTTCAAGAGAAAAGAGTTCTTTGATATTGGTTTATCGGCATGAACACGTGGCAAAACTTTAATCCACTTACTAGTTTTAGGACCCAATGAGTTTGGGATTGCCTTTCCAAAGAGGGAGATCTTCCATCTTTTTCCGAAGAAGCTCCTCAAACATGCATCACTGAAGCCCTATGTAAGTCTTGTACTCTTGTTACCCTGAAACCTTAGCTTTCTCCCACTCCCTTGCTCCCTGGTTTTTGCCACACAGAGAACAACCCCACCACCATCTACCATCTTTCAGGAAGACACCCCTCAGTACCACAGACCATCCACCTACATGTGCAATTTGGGTGGGTCCAACTCGAGCCCGGATAGACCCATACTGCAATTTTGGACGTCTGTGCTTGGATTTTTATTTCTTCAATTAGGCATGGGCCCAAAATCCTAGGCTTTCCTGTTTTTCAGGTTGGGCTTCTAGTCTTTAGGTAGTTCAAGTCTGACCTTATCCCAACCTAGCTATACACTTCATACTTATATACACTATGAATAGCTATATGCACACATGTATGTATTCATATATATGCAAAATATATAAATTTACTGTTGAAGGGTGATTTGACACGACCTAGAAAGAAGGGGACACATAGGCGCGATTTGATTGAGGGGTGACAACTCAGTCAAATAAGTCTAGTTCGCAACATCCGGAGCTCGGGTATTCAGCCACCTCAGCCTAGAAAACCACCTCGATGTAGAGGCACCTCGACACCCAATACAGTTCGGGACTAATGAATCGAAGTGCCAAGTCGGAGCTAATAAGCCAAAACGCCAAATAACCAACTCCAAAGGCCTCCCCAACAGATCTCAAATTTCTCGAGATCACGATGAGCCAACAGATTCCGAATTTCTCGAGATCACGATGAGAACTTGTCTCGGCTCCGCCTGAATCGAAGGTAAACGATAAATCTTATCAACCCATTACTCTCCTTCAGAAACGGAACAAACCTTATCTCCACAATCCAAAGATCCCAGAGCTCTTTCGTAAGGCCCACAACTACTCCAGTATATAAAGACATGAAAACTCAAGGCAAAAGTATGCGTGATTACTCTACTCACTAACACTCAAGCTCTCAAGCATTCAGTTCACATTCACAGCATAAGTAATGACTTAAGCATCGGAACAACCTCGCCGGGTTAGCTACCTCGGGTTCTCTGATCCACTGTTTTGCAGATCGATCCAGTCCGCCGCCCAATTGAAATTTGGATCGCCATCTAAATAGGAATAGCCAGATCGTGCACCATCAAAAGGTATAAATTATC